CCGCGTCCGTGGCCAGAGCCACGACCCTGTAGCGATCGCTCACGGCACGGCACGCCGCTGCGTACTCGCACAACTTCTCCTCCATGTTGGGCGAGCCTACCTTGATCATGTCTTCGACCTCGAACACTGCGTCCGTAGGCGACCTCGGGCCGCGGTGGTACTCGCCCATGGTACCCTCCAGCTGCTTGGACAAGTGCCAGATCATCTGGGCGAAGATGGGAGTCAGGGTGGCGACGCCGACGATGTCCCTCAAGAAGTCGATGATGGGCATCCCCCGAAAGGTGCCGCCGTCCTCGTCCATGTGGGCCTTGAACTGGTACTGCGATATCACCCGCCTCAAGTCCCGCCACGCCAGGCCCACCAGCAGGCCAGTCTCCATGATGTGCCGAACATCTATGTAGCCAGGGGTCTTGAACTCCACCTCGCAACTCTCCATGCCATCGCTGTAAGCGATGCCCGGGCGCGGCCATCGGCAGACCCAATCGCTCTCGAAGTACATGTGGAACTTCGCGTTCTTCTCCCTGGTGGTAGCCTGGATGATGAGGCCCTCGAGCAAGTCCTTCGCCCCCATCCTGGCAGCCGGGTCCCTGAAGCCACTGCCCTGGACAGTAGCGAAAGCCCATCGACTCAACAGAGATAGCATTAGTACAGAGCTGACGCCGTGCTTGGGCAGGCAACGATCATATCATGGAGCTGCGATGGTCGCCTCCTCACCGAGGTTGCCATGCTTCCCGAGGATGCACAGGAGACCAGGGAAGTGAGGGTGCATCCGGCGACGCCAAGATGGCTGATTTTTGTAGATCCACTTGGACGGGGTCCCCTTGCATGCGGTCAACCTCAGCGCTGAGTAGAGTTGAGCAGTGTCCCAGAAGACGCTCTGCATGTGGTCCCTCGGCCGCTTCATGATGAAGAACCTCATTTCCGCCAGCGTGCGCAGGGCCCCGATGGGCACATTGAAGGTGCCGCAGACGTGGCGACTGAGGATGACGTCCAGCAGGACGTGGGTCATGTTGCCGCCGCCCTTGCGCAGTCAGACTCTCTCGCGGTCCTGGAGTGTACTGCCGACGTCGAGCTGCATCATATCGTCGACGAGCTCACACACGTCCTCTTCGCCGGCAACAGCGGCAGGTTTGATGACGGCTGCACGGGGAGCGTGGACGCCTTCCTCGGCGTCGAACACGATCTGCCAGCCTTCCCCAAGTAGGATCTGCTTTTCCTGCGTGACTACGTCCGTGAGCTGATACCGCTGCGTGTCCAAGATATCTAAGTACACCCGGTCGCGATGGCCGTGGAGGGCGATGATTGTACCCCCCGAGTCTACCATGCTGGTCGCCGCGGGGCCAGGCCCATCAGGGGGCGCAGCTGCCATGCCTCGCTGGGCACGGTCGCCCTGGCGCCCCGCTCAAGTCCGCGCTGGTTTGAACCGAAATTGCGCTGGGTGGCTCCCGATCCCGCCTACCCCTCAACGCCTTCGGCGACAAGCCCCCCGCCGACCTCCAGACGACCCCCACAGAAGTCCCAGGGCCCCTGGAGACGTCTCCGATGAGAGGCGACGCAATCACTTCCAAATTGAATGCCGAAACAAAGCCCACGATGGTGCCAGAAAGCGTCCAGAGGAGAGGGGGGGGGAGGGGGGGGGGAGGGCAAAGATCGCTCGAGGCGCCCTGGTGAACCCCACGCGAACCCCACGCGAGCCCCATGCGAGCCCTGGGGGAGCCCCACGCGAGCCCTACGGGCGCTACGAACCCCACGGGTGCCCCACGGGAGCCCCACGCGTCCCCCCCGGGAGCCCCACGCGAGCCCCACGGAGCCCCACGGGAGCCCCACGGGAGCCCCACGCGTCCCCCCCAGGAGCCCCACGCAAGCCCCACGGAGCCCCACGGGAGCCCCACGGGAACCCCGCATGCCCTCGTTCGGACTTCCCCCCGGGAGCCTCCCTTTGCGGCATCGTTCCGAATCGCTCCTGGGTTGGGGGGGGCATCCGCTACGCGGCATCGGCCGCATCGGAAAGGCATCGGTTTGGCAGATCACCAGCCAGACTCGCCTGGAATCGATATCGCAGCTCGCAGCTGGGATAAACCCGCATGCAATGGGCGCGAGGCCGATGTTGGACTCACGTCGATATCGGGGTATGCCCTAACTACGCCAGCAGCATGCGGAAGAAATCACATACCACATCGGTACCGCCATTGTGATGCACGGGCATGTGCTAAAGCAGAGGGTCAACGCACACGCACGCAGCACTGCAACACCAACGGGTAATGGTTTCACATGTCCCGCTGCGGGCGCCCCCGCGCCAGCAAGAATCCCAAAGTTGACCGTGCCGGGCACGCGATAGACATACAGACGCCGAGCGGGGCCATATCGCCAGCCCTGCGCCGGAGCCGATCGGAACATGCCAACTGCGCGGTAGCTCTTCAGCTAACTCGGCGGCTGGCCACGAATCCAGGTGCAACCGCTCCCCTCGCCATTCGGCGCGCGGCCGAGAGGCAGCTCTCAGTTCGTCAGCTCGGGTGGGCGGCCGCGGACGCGGCGGCGGCCGCGGACGCGGCGGCGGGGCCGCCGACTGGGGGCGCGGACGCAGCGGCGCCACCGGAGGCGGCGGCGGCCGCGGACGCGGCGGCGGGGCCGCCGACTGGGGGCGCGAACGCAGCGCTGCCACCGGAGGGGAAGGTGATCGTCGCTTTGCGCCGTTTGATGGCAAGCTGCTCTTGCGCCTTCTTGGTGGTCTCGCAGGCCTTGCGAACCTTCTCGCTCTCCTGGTGGGCCTGCAAGTCCTTGGCCATGTTCTCGTCCGTCACCGGCTTGGCCTTCGTCGTGAGGACCGCTCTCTGCCGCGCCTCCCACTTCTCGTAGAGCTCCTCGACGTGCGCGTTGAACACCTTCGGCTTCGCCAGGAACCTCTTGTACCTGTAGGGCCCAGTCTCGGACTCGGCGAAAAACTGGTGAAGGTGGATCTGAGGGAGCTGAGGGAGACGATCATTCCAATCGCAGTGAGCGTCCACTAGCTGGTACTCTGTGGAGATACCCACAGCGGGGACGCCCGTCACGTCGCCCTGGCCGCCGTCGCCGTAGGCGTAAGTCACCTGGATCAGAATCCCCGCCTCAGTGAAAGTCAGAGTCCACGGCCCCAGCTTGAGCAAATCGATCCTGAGCCTGTGGTCTGGCCCCACTGCGCCGCGGGCCAAGACGTCGGCGAGGCGGTTGCCGATGTCGGTGATGCGCGAAGACGTGAATTCGCCAAAGAAGCTCTCGTACTTCAGCAGAAGGGGGAAAACCATCTTGACGGGCAGTTGCATGAGCGCATGGAGCAAGACATCGAGGCAGTCCTTGTCCACCTTGAACATCAGCAGCAGACGAGACGACGATATATCCGAGTGTTTGGAAATGACCGCGATCTTCTCCAGGTCATCCATCTCCGCGAGGCAGTTGAAGCTAATGGTGGGGAGGGCCGCCAAGAAGGCCTCGTCATCGTCCTCCTGGTCCTTGATGCGCTGCTTCAGGAAGAGATACACCGGCAACAAATGAGACTCATCATCCATGAGCAGGTCCCAAATCTGGTGCCGGAGCGTCAACGCGGTCTGCTCGTCGGAGTTCTGCTTGAAATTCCCTGAAGCGCGCTTCGCTGGCGTCTTCGGAGGAGTTGTCTTAGCACTCTGGCCAGCCTTCTTGGCGGGCGTGGCCTGGCGGCCGCGGGGTGCCTGCCCGCCCTTACCCATTGCGGGCAAGCGCAAACGCAGCTGAGAGAGTGAGGAACTGCGGGTGCGCTGTTACCCTCGGCCAGCTTCGTTTGAGCCAAAACGGCAATGGATCTACAGGCTGCGCGGCAAGGCCTGGAACGTCGAGCCGCTGTGCATGGGGCGTTTTACATTGCGACCTCTCGTCGCTTTACCAACAACCTGCCAATCTTCAACCAACCGGCCAGCCAACCATCAGAGCTGGCAACGTTCCTACCAACCAATCAGCCAACCAACCAATTCTAACATCCATGCAATCCTACGTGAGAGAGCTCTGGAGGTATGGGCTAACGCTTTTTGGTATAACCATCCATGCAGGCGCACCAAGACGACACCAATCGGGACGTGGAAGGGGGGGAGGGGAGTGCACCGTGTCATGCACGGACGTACGACATCTGAGCTAAATATGCACAATAAGAAAATCCATCCCAAAAACCGGCATGCTTGGGGGTGGGGGTCATATTCTGGACCCCATATGTAGGAAGCCATACTGGGCTATCTTGAGCTACAGTGGGCCATCTTGGATACCATCAGGGGCCCTCTTGGAGCCGTCTCGGGCTGTCTTGGGCCCCCAGAACGCTCGCCGGGCGCCCCGTCAAGACCCAGGGGTAGAAGGCAGAGAGAGAGTAAACCCATCTCCAGGAGGAGGATGACGAGGAGGGGGGGGTTGGAAGAGGAAGCGCTCCACACCACCTGCGCCCTCAATCAAGGGCGCGTGGGCTCTGTGGCAGATGCGCCTGTGCGGTTCTGCAAGACATCGCGCCCTGCAGCCTTGCGTGAGTGCTGTGTGCCGCTTCGGGCTCCGTCTTCAAAGGAGGAAAACGAGGCACGGGAGAGAAGGACAAGGAGGATGGGGGGAGAAGGAGTGGTGGCCAGGAGGGGCGAGGAGGAGGAGGAGGAAGGTAGAGGAGGATGAGGACTTGGAGCAGGATGACGAGGAGGAGTACAGCCGAGATCCATGCCAAGAAACACTCTGCTTACCTCCAGGGTGTCATGGGTTTCTTCGGTGTCCATGGGTTTTTCGATGGAAGGCGTGACGTTCCCACACCAAAAATCAATGGACGCCCTGGGTTCTCAGTATTGGGTTTTTTGTGGAAGGTTTCTTGTAGACTGGCCCCTACTGCTTGGATCATGGACGAGGAAGAGGAGAAGGGAGGAGGAGGGTAAATGAACCACTGCAACGATGACGAGGACGAGAACGAGGAAGATGAGGACCGCGTCAGCCGCCGTCGCCGCGGGGCCAGAGGACGGGAGCGCTCCCAGGAACCCGTCGCCGCGGAGCCAGAGGACGCCTGCGAGTGCGATTGGGCAACGCCGGCCGCCTGCAAAGGCACCCCCCCTTGCGTCGGGCGGGCGGGCCATCGTCGCCGTCGTTGTCGTCGTCGTCGTCGTTGTCGCCGTCGTTGTCGTCGTCGTTGTCGCCGTCGTCGTCGATGTCGTCACCGTCTTCCTCCTGCTTCTCTCGTCACCATGAAAAGGATGAGGAGGAGGAGGAGGAGGAAGAGGAGGGAGGCGGGCGAAGGGAGGCAGATGAGGAGGAGGAAAAGGAGGGAGGCGGGCGAAGGGAGGCAGATGATGATGATGATGATGATGATGATGATGAGGAGGAGGAGGAGGAGGAGGAGGAGGAGGAGGAGGGGGACGATGAGGAGGACAACGACGGTGGAGGAGGAGGGAGGGAGGGGCAGGGCGAGGAAGGTGAGTAGGAGGGAGGGGGTCGGAGTGGCCGCGATGTCCCTTTTCCTCTTCCTCGGGGAGGAGGAGGAGGAGGAGGAGGAGGAGGAGGAGGGAGGAGGAGGATGATGAGGCCCCAGAGGCTCCCAAACTTCCCAGATGGGTGCTCGACATCCAAGTGGGCATGCGTTTCCTCTGCCCTGCGCGGAGAGGAGAAGGCTCAGAGCGAGGAGGACGAGGCAGAAGAGGGAAAAAGGGAATGGGGGCCAGAATGGGGAAAGAGCAGGAGGCTTGCCGCGACACAGAGTCTGGACACAGGCAGGGAGGAGACCCTGGGGCGCCAAGGGAGGTCAAGTCATCCAGAGAGCATCCTGGCGGGGCCTAAGGCGCTGAGAGTAACATGTGAACTGGGGGGTGCACGCAGCGTGGGAGGAGACCCGAAGGTGACAGGGGAGGGCAAGGAAAGGGATGGGTGAGCAGGGAGAAGGAGCGGGAGATCGCAACAGTTCGGACAGCGGGTGTTCGGGCGCGTGGCTACGAGCGCCATGTTGCGCTCACCTCTTGTGGCGAGAGGGACCGCGCGTTCCAAGACGAGGGTGGCCAGAAATCCTCCGCCCCGGCGCGGTCTGCTGGGGACGGCGGCCGGAAGACAGAGAAGGGCGTGGCGATTCGGAAATAGCGTTCCCGATCTGCACGCCCACGGTGGAGGGAGGCCCAGGTACCTGACGTTTTTGCATGCGTGCCTCTGGGATCCTGGAAGCGGCGTCGCAGAGGGGTGTCCCCCCACCGCAACACGCGGCGTGATCCATGGATTTTGCTGCCAGGCGTTCTCACGGGACGCAGTAAAGGGGAGAGGGAGCCAGCAGCGGTTGCGTTGGCAGTGAGCGTCGAGTCTCGCCTGGATGACCTCGTGGAGGGGGGGCTTCTTGAGGAAGCGGCGGCGGGGACGCATTGTGAGTGGCGTTCCAGGCGGACGGGGCCCGGTGGAACCTTGCGAGAAGATGCCTCGACTTTTCCTGGGCGCGACGCAGCGTGTGTGCAGGGCGCGTGGCGCCTTCTTGGAGCGCGGCGATGCTGGCACGCAGGTCCGATTCGCGGGCGATGTGGCGGCGGCCCGTCGCGCAAAAGTCGGTGAGAGGGCCCTGCGCCAGTCGAGGGGCGGCCGTTCGCCCCTGGCGGGATCCCCGTTTCCCTGGTGGGTGGGGGGATCGCTGCCCAGACCGTCAGTCCCCTCGGGGGGGAGGGGCGTGCGCCTGTCGGGCGACGAAATCTATACATATCCACTGCTCCCTGACCATGCCCGTCTTGATCCCAGGAGCTGTGTATGCGCCCTCCTGGCCAAGCCAGGAGGGCGTGGCGTATACACCGCTGCGGGGTTGAGGATGGGCCTGGCCAGGGAGCAGTGGATATGTATGGATTTCGTCGCCCTAGCCTGGTGGCAGGAGGCACAGAGAGGGGGTGCTGGGTGTTCAATAGAACTGGCCGGCACCGCGGCTTGGGGCGGCGGTCCCGTCACGGGCGAGTGCGGGTTCTGGATCCTGTCGACGGTCCGCGTCCCCTTGCCTCGCCCTCGCGTGTCCTCTCCAAGGTGTCGATTGGGAGCATGTCCCCGTGCACGGTCGGCCCGGATTAGTAGGTCGACCCTGCCAGCTCAAGGGTATCCTTGTGTCCTGCTCCTCGCGACATGTGCCTCCTACACCCCCATGGCGATGAGGCCCTCGGAAGGGTCTTGTGTCCTCTCGCGTGTCCTGTCCAATCAATACCGACTGTAGCTCCCTGGAGGGAGTTGGGAGATGGTACGGGTGCCGCCGGAGCTCAGGTGGCCCCGTGGAGGGCGGGCAGGGGCGCCGGGCATGTTGGAACCAAGACCTGGTGGTCGTCGGGCGCGTCGTGGAGGGAGCCGCTGGGAGAGGGAGCGGGAAAGATGAAGAGAGACAAATTGCGCGAGAGAGAGAGAGACATGTTATATACATGTATACATTCGTACATACGTACGTACGTACATCCATACATACATACATGAACACACATACATGAATCCACAAATACATACACACATACATACATGCATGCATGCATGCATACATACATACCGACAGGCAGGCAGACAGACAGACAGACAGGCAGACATATGTACGTGCATGTTTACATACAGACACACATACATACATACATACATACATACATACATACCACCATTCAGACATACAGACAGACAGGCAGGCAGACATGCGTACATGCATACATACATACAGACAGGCAGACATACATACAGACAGACAGACATACACAAATACCTACATACATACATACAACCATGCATACATACAGACAGACAGGCAGACAGACATGCGTACATGCATACATACATACATACAGACAGACAGACAGGCATACATACATACATACATACATACATACATGCATGCATACATACATACATACATACATACATACATACATGCGTGCGTGCGTGCGTGTGTGCGTGCTACATGCATACGTACATACAGGCAGACAGGCATGCATAGGTCCAGAGAGGTAGAGAGAGAAGGGTGCGTCCTCACTATGTCGACGACACTTGAGTTACCTGGACGGTCTGCAGGGGTTCGACGTTGAATTGGATCATGTTTCAAGCTTGTAGCTTCCATCGCAGGCCGTTTTAGACTGATAGTGGTAGTTATAATGATCGAGACTGGGAGAAGACGAATGATTGTTTTGAGAAGGAAGGTGGAGGAGGAAGGATGAGAAAAGCGCGCGGGGGGCGAGGAAGAGGATGATAGGACGAGGAGGACGAGGAGGATACATATTATGATGGGACGAGGAAGCAGGTGACGAGGAGGAGAAACATCAGGAGGGGATGAGGAAGAGGACGAAAAGAGGGAGGGAGCTGTCTACTCTACATCCCTCCCCTCCCCCTCTGCGCTTCGTTTCTTCTCCTGCTCTCGTGCCCTTCTGTCCCAGCTTGAGCCGCCCGCGTGCTTGACCTGTAGACTTCCATGCCGCAGCGCGCAGAGAGGGAGGGACGGAGGGAGGGCGGATGGGTAGCCGCCCATGCCGATGTCTCTTCGAACGTCACGGCGCCGCTTGGGGATCTCTTGGGATCCACGCGAGTGGATACTACACGGTTGCGTCATCAAGGAATCTTGTCGGCGGAATCGAGTCTGCACTGCCGCTCTGTCCGAGGACACGCCTTCCCCCAGCCTGTCAACCGCCCAGGTTGAGAAAGCGCATGCCGACGGCCATGGCTCAATCTGCCGGGGACGAGGCTTCCCGTCGTGGAGGGCTCCAGGGCCAGAGACGTCACGGACGCCGGAGGGGCGAACGCCTCTCCTCGGAGACAGCGCGGCTCGAGAAGACAGTGCAGCGGCAACCGCTCCTCGTCCTCCTCGTCTCTCCTCCCCTCCCCTGCCTGGCGAGCGCCCGCCCCAACATGGTGGCTCCTATTTGCGCGGAGCTGCACGTCCAAGTCTTGCCTTCACCTGTCACACTCGGCTGCACGGCGTGTTGGCCAGGCGAGGGTAATACCAGGGTCGACGCTTCAAAACAAAAAGATGGGATGAGCGGAATGGGTCCTGACGGAAACAGGTCATTGATCCATGGGGCGCCTCTTGTGACCAGGTTTTTTCAGCATGCGCAATTGATCGACGGCCTCGGGGCCCCGGCTCGGGGAGGTGCCCGGGAGCCTGAAAGCGGCAAGAGAACTCCAGGACTTGTCTCCCCCCCGTGGGGGGGAGGGGGCCCTGCAGGACCCCTTCTTCCCTGCATGGCTGCATGGCGACGAGGGTCGCAGGGCACCAGCTGCACACCTGCACCGATCCTGGCCAGGCCGATCCAGGATGAGCCTGGCCAGGATCGGTGCAGGTGTGCAGTCGGACCGAGGTAGAAGATCGAGGTGGGTTCGGGGAGGGTGCCCTCATGTTCTTCGTGCGTGCCGGAAGTTCTTGTGCATCCCGGGGAGAGTACCCTCAGATGTTCTGTTCGTGTTGGCCGGCGGGGGTCTCATGTTCTTCAGGGATGTTTTTTCTGGCCTAGGTCCGACTGCACAGCTGGCGTCCTCCTAGAGGGTGGCTCTCGCCCAGCACGGGGCCAGAAGATGGGTACCTCGCTGGCGGCCCCGTCGTGGGCGCCGCGCGGACCCGGGTGACCTGGGAGCCGCTCTCGGCGGCCTCGGCGCGGCTTCTTCCTCCTCTTCCTTTTCCTCCTCATCCTCCTCCTACTCCTCGGCGTCTTCCTCCTCCTCGGCTTCCTCCTCCTCCTCCTCCTCCTCCTCGGCTCCTCCTCCTCCTCCTCCCCCTCCTATCCTTATTCCTTATTAGAATATACTCCTACTCCCCCCTCAGGCCGGCCATTAGGGGCCGCATCCGGGGGGTCCCATCCTAACCTGTAAAAAACAATATAAAATCAACATTTTTCTTATTTTTCCTCTCGACATGGACGTCCTGTCGTCCACGGCGATAATCCATTGCAAAAAATACCACAAAGAGCACACGCGCGCGTTCATGTCAGAATCCTACCGAACACAGTGTGTTTGCAAGCATTTCAACATAAAAACATCAAAAACCCAATGCTTTTTCACAAAAATTGTACAAATTTCCCGCCCGGGCTCTCTTGCTGAAATCATAGGAAAACCATAGGAATCTTAAGAATTCTGTCAAA